CGACGGGCCGGGGGGCCCGGGAAGGCGGGGCGCTGCGTCCCCGGCGCGCTGCTCACACTCACCAGTTCGGGCCGCGTCTCCTCTCGCCGCCGCCAGCCGCACTCCCCCCGCCTCCTCCGCCACCTCTCCCAGCGCCGCCGTCGCCCAGGCCGGGCCGCGCTCCTTTTCCGCTTCCGGGAGCCCGAGTGGCCGCGCCGGCGGCGTGGGTACCCACCTGCCCGCGCCGTGCAGGGACCGGCTGCCGCAGCCGCCGTCTCGCTTCGCGCCCGGGAGTCACGACGGGAGCCGCGGAGGGCCGAAAGGCCGGAGACCGCGCGGCGGGCGCGGGCGGGAGAGACGCTCCGCGGGCCTAGGCCGCGCGCCCGGCCGGACGGCCATCGCCCGAACACTCGTACCTGACGCGCCCGGGCGCCCCCACCCTCCCCTGATGCCACCTTCCCAGCTCTGTCCAGCGCCTGCTTCTCGTTGTCCCCACACCCTCACCGTCCGCCTCTCCGAGAGCACGGGAGAGAGGCCTTCCTTTCAGGACATCGCATTTTTCCTCTTTCCTTAAGGGAAGATGGTCAACCGGCCTCCCTCCCCCTAAGACGTTCTGGGAGTCTCCTGGTACCTTCCTTCCAAATGCAGTCCTCAGCGTCAGCATCCCCTGGCAACTCGTTAGAAATGCACGGTCTCAGAGCTGCTGAAGCAGTATCTGCATTTTAACAGGATCTTCAGGTCATTCCTACATGTGCACCTTAGAGGTTGAAAAGCATGGTCTTGCCCACGACAGACCCGCTGTAGGATAAGAGTCGAAGTTGCCCCAGCCATCCAAGATTTTTCCTGTCTGTCTGCAACCTAAATTCATACTCAAAGAGGTTTTACTTAGCATTTCGGGAGACCTCCGAAAGTTGCCCGGTTTTCAATCCTGACCCCTTTGAAAAATAAATTAACATGGCAAAGAATCTACCTCCAGGCCTACATTGGTATCTTATACTAAAACCTCCCCTCTTAGCCCTCACCCCAGCTGAGCAGAACTTTGGGAAGGTTGAGATGTTTGCAATAATCCAGAGCTAACTCTTTGTGCCCGCATGCCACAGGAGGAGATAACGTGTGAATGGAAGAAATATTACCTACGGCATAAAACCTGAACTTACAGGATGTCGTTGAAAGCCATTCACAAACTGGTCCCTACCTACCTCTTCAGTCTTAGCTTTAAGTACTAACTTGGTTCATTTACCCACTTGGAATGCCCTCCATCTACTCTGATGATCTTAATTCTATCCAGATCTGGGAGTCAGCTCGAATCCTGCCAGCCCAGCGTTCTCACTCACCACTGCACTTAACTTACATCACACATTGTAGCTTAGTTGGGGTCCTTATGTTAATCTTGTATGGCTAGGTATTTTTAGACGTGTTATATTGTAGTTTCTGAATTGATTACAAACACCTTGGGACCTTAAAGACCTAGGCAGTGGTTATCAAAGTTATCACAACAGCAGCATCAACAATACCTGGGAACTCGTGAGAAGTTCCATATTCTCTAGCTCCACCCCAGATCTACTGTATTAGGAACTTTGGGGGTGAAGCCCAGCAATCTGTGTTTTAAGAAGCTTTCCAAGTGATACTAAGGCACACTCAAGTTTTAGAATTACTGACCTAGAATATTGTCTCTTACCCCCAAAGGAACTCAATGGTAGGGATCTACTCTATATAAGTTTTATTGCCTTTCAGATTAAGAAATAAGCTCCTCTGCTTATACATAACTGGTTGGAAGACTGCGACAATTGCATTTGGAAGAATTATGTTTGATTTTCTTAATGCATTTTATGTAAGTTGGGTTTTTGTAAGTTGGTTTGTTTGAAAAGAAAGATATAATAAAGATAATGAGTCACTTTGGGCAAAGAGAAAACATGGAGTTTTACTTCCCATATCCGGTAACTGAATTGCATAATGTTGCTCTCTCTTAGCATACGTTTGTGACAATAATTTGTGGCAAACATCTCAACAAGTGCCAAAATGAGAATTAGCGGATGAGCACATGAACGTACATAGCAATTGAAAGTGTAGATATTTTCTGTGCCTTTTTTTCATGAGTTATCTTGTCTCTTAGTAGCCAAATCAATATCACAGAGAATTTTCTCAAAAAGCCATGGAAAGAGAGAAGTAGCAAGAAAAACACTGTCAAAATCATGGGGCTTTTTAGCATGGGCAGTTAAGAAGTATAATCAAGGGCCTATCTATCCCTTACACTGAAGGTCAAGTCATCTAATTCTATCACTCATGCTAGGCATGACTAGACTGTATTGCAACCCATATACTTAGATACCTGTGTCGTAATGAGTAAGGGAGATATGGCATCATGTAATATTTAGGGGAGCTTTTCTATGTACTGTAAGGATGGAGAGAAGATATATATCATGTACTATTTTTTTCCCCTCCAGAATTCTAGTCTATTTCATGGTGCCTGTGACTGATGGAAACATGATTATTAATCAAGTTAATATTTATCTGGGAATTGAAAAAATAGACAAGGACAAGTAGTATTGCTGCCACTGCCAAGTTAGCTTCTCAACAAAGGCACAGTCAGGGCATTTATGTGGATAAGCTCAGCCAACTACTGTGCTTCTGTGCCGTGACTGGGGAGAACTGGATTTTACTGCATTTCCAAAAGTCAGTGCAAATGCAGTCCAGAGTTTAATCAGTACTGGATAATAGCACTTGGCAGCTTTGGGTGGATGGCATTCTCCACCTGCCCAGCTGGGTACCATGCCCTAAGCACCCACATTTGATGCACATTCGTGATTTCTTGGTTGCTTACAGTCATCTCCCCCATCTGTTTGAGTGGCAGAGTGCCCATTCCACAACAGTCTAATATTCTAATTGTTGTTCTTAACCTCTTGTGGGTAGCACATAATTTTTAGCATCTGATGAAAGTTGTGGACCCTCTTCTTAACAAAGTAAAGGACAAATTATATAAACATATATATAAAGTTTCACAAGCTGCTCCACCTTCCTACACCTCCAGAGGACTACAATGAAGTCCTGAACTTCAAGTTACGAACTTGCCCTAAGACAAAGATAGTAGGTGAAATAAACTTTTTTTCAAATATCCAGGATAACTATTAAAAACCACTGTGTTCTTAGGAGACAGAACAAAGCAATGCTAAACAGAATTACAAGCAAAGTGCTGTGGGAGTGCTAGAAAAGCAGACAGTTGTGTCAGCAGGGTGATTCAGGAATGGCTTCATAGAGAAAAGTTCTTGCATCAGCCATGTGAAGATAGGATTTTGATTAGGACAAAGAATCCTTCCAGGATGAGGCGCTGTGTAAGCAAAGGCATGGAGACATGAAAGTACAACAGTCCATCTGCTGTGGCACAAATGCAAAATACATGGAAAGGTAGAGAGGAGAATGGAATGGTAGAACAGAGTCAAATCATGATGAACTAAAACACAATGCTATTTCCAACGAGGAGCCATTACGCTCTTTCAGTGGGGTAATCTAATCTGGAAAGACTACTAGTGAGGGCAGTGGCATCATCAACAGTCACAGTATGGGCATTTGAAAAGTTATGAATGTCCTAAATTGGAACCCATTAGTGAAGCCATATGGCTTTGCATTAAATTTTTAGGGTTGCTTGATGTTTGCTATAGAGATTTATATTAAGGTAAGTCAAGATGAACCTGAGATTCTTTTTTTTTTTTTTTTAAAGATTTTTATTGGGGAATTGGGAGGATGGGAACAGCTCTGGGGAATTGGGGGAAGGTGAACAGACAAGCTGCCGTCGTTTCTGTTCTTCAATCTAGTTGTGGAGGACACTGCCCCACTGGCCCAAGTTGGCACCATCTTTGCACTCTTCCCGGGTGAGGCACATCAGTCGCCAGCTTCTAGATGGCCGCTCACTGTGGCTGCTGGCCGCTCACGCTGGCTGTTAGCTACATACAGTAGCCCATGGCAACCCACTGCAGCAGGGGCTGCAGCCTACGCCGTCACCGGTGACTCATGGCAGCCCAGCTCCAGGTTGAGCTGTTGTTCAGCATCTTAGCTGTAGAGAGCAGTGTCACTGGCCCTCATATGTGGGATCCGAACTGGGGCCCTCTGGCATTCCAAGCCAGTTCTTAACCATCACGCCACTCGGCCGCCCCGAACCTGAGATTCTTATAGTTGGTTAAGTACCAGTGAGGAAATGTGTCCTGGTTAACAATCAGTTTAGAATCCAGGACCCTGAGGAGTTAAAATCTGTTTGGAATGGAAAGCATGATAGTCAACTTGGACTGAAAAGAGAAAAGAAGCCCTGTCACTAATCTTGGGCTGGGAGAACAGACACCGATAAAGCCAGCTGCAAAGTTAATAGACAACACTCTTCCTGCCAAGGTCATGCAGCAGTTATAAATTACCACAATGGCCTTCTCTTTGCCCCAGACTGCTTGTTGTTTTCATTTAGTACTAGGGATACCCAATTTCTCAGCCATGTTCACCTCGAGGCAGCACCCAGTTCCTAGCTAATTCCCTCTTCTGCTAATCCCACCTTGAAACAACAACCAATCCAAAACTGAACTCTGCTTCCCTTAGATTATCTTCAAAATCCTTCAATGAGAGCCCAATTTACAGGAAATGCCTTGCTCCCCCTACTTGTCTAGTGGCCTTCCTCTAAAGTGCACCCTTCCCCCTTCTTGCAAGGCAACAAATCTTATTTTGTCAAGCTACAGGCTTGTCCCTGGTAATCTTCGTCTTTGGCTGAGTAAGGGTTTTTTTTGTTTGTTTGTTTTTTTAAGATTTTTATTGGGGAATTGGGGAAAGGGAACATTGTGTTTTTCCCGGACCCATCAGCTCCAGGTCAAATTGTTGTCCTTCAATCTTAGTTGTGGAGGGCACAAGCTCCGCACTAAGTCCAGTCACCAATTGATTAAGTTTTAACAACCCGATTGATAAGGAAAGCCGCCCACTGTCAGGACCAAGTCAAGGTTCTTTAGGAAAGAGGTCTTTCTTCTGTGTCACTGGCACAATAAAGTAACTGCCATACTGGACAATGAGACAGCAGTTTCACACACGGACTCTTTCTACATGGGAGGAAGTGATGCTTTGGGCTGGTTACCCTGATCCCTCACCCTTTGGAGAAATGTGGATCAAAGCAGAAAGCAGAAGGAAA